GTTACGAACCTAATAACTACCACCCAACAAAACCAACCAGCTAAAACATACGCCGAAATAATAAAATCGCATCCAACTCAACCCATTCCAATAAACAATGAATCAAACAACTCCGAATTTGCCGAACTCCAGCAAATGATGAAACGACTTATGACGCAAGTTGCCAACGTTAAACATATTTTAACCATCCTAATCACCAAACTCGATGGACAGAAATAAATTAAAAATTTTAGCTTGGAATGCAAACGGTCTCAGCAAACAACTACTAGAACTAAGAACATACTTAAATATCAGAGACACACTTCACAGACAAAAGTTTCATCAAAATCCCTAACTATTCGATATATCATACAAATCATCCCGACAACAAAGCCTATGGTGGAACAGCAGTAATTATTAAGCAAAATATGCAATGCTCGATAGCCAGTATATACCAAACAGAACAAATACAAGCTACAAGTGTCCATATTCAAGATACAAAAGGCGAGTTAACAGTATCAGCTATTTACTGCCCTCCGAAACACAATAACTCGAAGGATGTATACCTGAGCTACCTTAACACTCTCGGCAATCGGTACATTGTTGGTGGAGACTTTAATGCAAAAAATACTTTGTGGGGCTCAAGAATTACAAACTGCAAAGGGAAAAATTTAGATAATGCTATCATTGACAAAAGAGCAGACATTCTAAGCACAGGTGAACCTACGTACTGGCCTAACGATATGAACAAAATACCAGACGTGATTGACTTTTTCGTGACCAAAAATATAAATAAACGATTTCTTGCAGTAAGTACACTTCCTGACTTATCATCTGATCACTAACCAATTATGCTATCATATCAAAGCGACAGAAAACTAAATATCACAAGGACAAAATTAATCTATAATAACAAAACATGTTGGGACACGTTTAGAGATATTCTTAATACCGACCTGACAATAAATATTTCCTTACAATCTGAAGACGAAATCGAAAGCGCGATTGTATACTTAAACGAAATGATCGCTGTTGCGGTGACAAATTCTACCCCAGTTCTTAAACAAAACGACACTCAAAATAAAATCTCGATGGCAGTTAAAAGCAAGATAATGGACAGAAGAAAACTGAGAAAACAATGGCAAATAGATCGGTCCCCTGAACTAAAAAAGGACTTAAACAAACTAAAAGCTAATAAAAATTTTAACATATCCACAGACAACTTGCAGAATTACCTAAACGCAATGCTTGAATGGTTCGGCAAATGGGGAGTTCAAATAAATACAAGCAAAACAGTTCATGTTATTTACACGAATAAAAAATATGACCTAAAACGTATAAAAATTAACAATAACAAAGTTTTCACACACACAAAGGCAAATTACCTTGGCATTACTATAGATAGCAGATTAACTTGGAAAGAACATAAAGCTAAATGCAATGAAATTAAGCGTCGCTTTGGACAATTGTACTGGCTACTCTGCTCGAAATCAAAACTAACACTGGAAACTCCTAGTAACTCCTAGTATACTCCTATAGAAACTCCTAGTATATAAAACAGTAATCGCTACAATATGGAAATATGGAGCCGAAATATGGGGCACAGCATGCAAATACAACATTCAAATACTGCAAAGACTACAATCAAAAATACTTAGGACTACTATCAACGCTGAATGGTACATCTCAAACTATGACATTCATCGCGATTTAAAGATACCCTTCGTTGCAGACGTTATCCGAAAAAGTAGTAAAAAGCACAAAGACAGATTACTTTTCCATCCTAACTCAACAATGAGGCAGCTACTTAATGACGAAGCCACACATAACAGAAGATTGAAGCGCTTATTTCCATCAGAACTAGCAATATTATAATAATCTAACAAATATATTCATAGTAAATTCATAGCAGTCTATTTCATTGACTCATTTATTATATCATCTATCCATTAATTTTAATTATTTTATAATATTTAATTTATTTAATTTAAAGAAAAGTTTTCTTTTTCTTTTATCCACTATTAATAGTTCACTCATGTAATTCTTAATCTTGTTTTTGAATTATTACTTGAAGTTCCATTATGTAAAAATGTATAGTAAATGCTAAATCTTGGCAGTTGGCAGTATAATAAAGGGAAGCAAAAAAAAAAAAATTTCCAGAAACCATCGTTAGGTTACGTCTGAAAGCTTCCTTAGCAAAACCTCAAATCGTTAGTCTGGTCGTCTTGTCAGTTACCGTCCATTTGTTTGTAGAAGCATCTGACAAAGCTTGCATCAGGAGAAGTTTACCTCATCGCGTCCTCTCTTAATCCATATTTCTACGTTAGGGATGAATAAGCAGATTCACCTTCCCTTGTTCGAACTCGACAATTTGCGTTGCCAGGTCTGAATTGTTTCCCTTCTGGCGTGCTCTCTGCTAGCTCTATCGTACCGTATTTCGCAACTCGATCGTGATCAGCTCGATTGGCGACATGCTGGCCAAGATACCAATGGCGTCTCCTGACAGTATTTTATAGGCGGTGCATTGACTGAATGCAGGCCACGTAAGTAGACATCTTCAAGACGAAGGAATACTCGAGCCGCACACAACATGATCGAGCTCGAAACTGTTGCTAGAACTCTGCACTTGCTGGTCCGAATTCCCGCGGTGTTTAACATAATTCTCGAGAGAGCCATGACTGTTCTGTTCGCTTTCGCTTTTGTGGCCAAAAGATGTTCTCTGAAACGAACTTTTGCGTCCCTAAGCACCTTTGGGTAGAGATCGGGGTCTTCTGCTCCGCGATCTCAAGACCGTTCATAGTCAGCTAACAAGCGACTCTGCCTACTGATTCAGAACACCTGACTGTTATTTCCACAATGTTCTAAGTGATCACCGCTACTGCCAGATCATCCGCACAGCCAATGTTAGTGTCCGCCGTTGTGTGTCTTTTTTCTACCTCGATTTGCTCTCTAACCTTTTGTGTGTTGTACTTACGGCATGATACAAATATCGTGACTTCTTTGAAGTTTATTGAAGTGAGTTTCTTGTATTCTATGTTTAGTTGTACAAAAGTGTTCTGTATTTACAAGGACGAACACAAGAACGGAAGGAAGTAAAAGGACTCAAGGAAAGAAACTTGATCCAATGCCTTTAGCAACAACTGTAACTTCGAGAGGTAAAAAATATAAAGAAAGCCCTAAACGTATGGGCTCTAAAGATACACCGGTACCTAAAGAGGCAAACCATCTCATTCGGTAAGGCTTGAAAAAATGAGAACAACATACAGCCGAAAAAAGGATTCGCAGTTAAAATAAGTCTAGCAAAAGGTGGTACTGGTAAAAAATGTAGAGCGGACAGTAAATCGTAACCGAAATTCATGTCTAGTAATGCAAAAATTACTGTATCATCTCTGAAAATTACTGTGAAGTGATACCACAGTCATTAAACTGGGAGGTACTCAGCTGATTACGTGCATCGGGTATAGTATACCCGGTGTTCACTTAATGACAGCTTACCTGTGAAGGGCAGCAGGCATCGAAAACGAAAAGTTGCTATAGCTGATGATAAGCAAAAAATCGAGGAAATCAGAATTTCACCTCATTATAGTCAGTGCATTGATGACCTCGACATGACGCTGCTAGACTTGGTACTCAGGAACAACCTGAGTGCAATACTGGTCCAAGAGTCTTGGCTTTTAAATAATCGGATTTGTGGTCGAGCCACTAAATACACACAGGTAATATGGAACGTTAGATGTGATAACCCAGAAAGTTGTATTATATTAAACAAAAATCTAAATTGCTTATGTCTTTCAGAATCCCTTTCCTGGAACATAGTAGCAGTCCAGATTCCCATCTACATCACCGAACAACGAAACTCAGGTTTCTGAGTGCACATGCAGATTGATGGACTGTAACGACACACTTTCTGTCTGATGATGCTGAGGTATACTCAGTCTTCGTCCAGGGGTCGTTGCAATATAATTTATTTTTTTTCCAAATCAAAGACAATTTAATATATGTGATTTACTGATTTATTTATAATTATAATTCAAAAAAAAAAAAAGAAAGAAAAAGAAATGTTACATTGTGAATATTATGATGAATTGTGCTGTCCTCCTATGGAACTTTCGGGATTTGTCTAAATGATCTCGGCGTTGTATAGTATTTCTGGACAGATGCCGCTCTACTTGGAAATCAAACTTTGAATTTTATTTCGGATTACAGAACATCAAGCTACCTTGACTTATTACTCACTACTCGTCAAGACGTATGAACTACCTTGACGTTTATACGATGCTACCAGTCAAGACGTATGAACTACCTTGACGTTTATACAAAACTACTAGCCAAGACGTATGAACTACCTTGACGTTTATACAACACTATTAGTTAAGAAGTATGAACTACCTTGACGTTTATACAAAGCTACAAATTTCTAATTCCTTGTTTTCGCAAAGACGTATAACTGCCTTCGAGAGTTTTCGTACAAGTCATTTTTCTTCTAACTCGTACGCTTATTTATACTAAATCGACCTAAACTTTTCTTGTAGCGCATACATTGCTTCAGCTGTTATTTGTTTTGATTGCCGTTTTAGAATTTGCCCTGCTGATTTATTTGATATCACACATGTGTTAGTTTATCTCTTTGTCTCACTTGTTTCCTATTCTCACCTTCTCCTCAACTTTTGCTACCGGTTTTTAATTCACTGTGAGAATTATGTTTTGACATTCGCGTACATCATCTTCATAACTTGTTTACAAACGCGTTGTAATTTTTTCCATATTTTAAAAATAATTCGAGTGATTGTAAAAATAATATTTAATTTATAAATTAATTTTATAAAAATGTTCATGTCAACTAATTTACTTGGTGTTATTTTATATAATAATAATTGTTGGTGCCGGCTTCAATTTGTGTGCGGCTATTCCTAGTTTTACAAAAACAGCGAGATAAAAATAAAAACGTTGTGAGTTTATATTCAAGTGAAATTCATTTATTCAATTTATAAAATAATTTCATTTCAGGAATTTAACTGGAATTCCTAATATGTGAGTGAAATTTTGTTTAGCTTTATTAAATTTTTCTATTACTTCAATATATATTTTAAGAAGAAAAGTGTTATAAAATTTTGCTTCACAGGACTAGTGTAAGAAAAAAACACTACCGCTTACACTCGGTTGCGATGCCAATGCACATAACGAGGTATGGGGGAGCACTAACACCAACAAACGGGGCGAGTATCTTTTAGAATTTATAGTTAGAAGTAAATTAGAAATTTTGAATATAGGAAACACACTAACCTTTCTAACTCGTCGATGTCAGACCACAGAATGTTGTATTTTAAAGTATTTTAAAAAAACAAATAAATTCATTAAACGTGATTAAACTTGAGAAACTTGAGATTATTTTCTGGTATTCTGCTGTATCTGGAGGTTGTTCCTTTGGAGCTCGGTGATCTCTAATCTGGTTCCGTGGTTTGTATCTTCGTATGATTACTTGCTCAATGCGTACCTGTGTGGGACAGAGGGGTTAGTGGATATATAAATAATATATATTTATTTGTTTATTTTACTGAATATACACATAATAGTGTCCAAGCGCCTTGACTTAAAACCGCCCATGCGCTTGTGAACAATTACATATATATTTTAGTAAATTATACACTAAAACTTAAAACCGCCTTCGTGTCAGGGCATAGTTTATATTTGTTTTAATTTATAATTTTTGGCATACAATACCACTGAGTGATCATACAAGACTCACTAAATTCTTAGAAAATTGCGCTGTATTTTATACGCATTTCTCTTGAACTTTTTGTGTAAAGTACACAAGCTTTGAGTTGATCTTAATTGAACTTACTGCACTTAACACTTTTGCACAAAAGCTCCCTTGTGCATCTTTTTGCAGCGAATTGCATTCTGACATTTTTGACGTTTGTAAATGTTTGTTTACATTTTTATAAAAAGCGGCGGTGCTCGGGTTTTTTTATTTTTATAGTTGAATTATTTATAAATAAAATAATAAATAATTTATAAATAAATTATTATTTATTAATTTAAATAAATTTATTTGGAAAAATAATGAAGGTATGTTATATTGTTATTTTTATTCATATACCTTTTTGTATGCAAATTAATGAGATTATAAGTCCGGTTATATTTTAAAAAATATTTTATTTAATCAATAGCATTTACATTTAATCGTATCATAACCGTACATGAATCTAATCTAAGTGAGCAATGCTCCTACTTTTATATTCAAATAATCTGAGCTTACAAATAAAGCTTTTCACTCAAAGCTTGCTCAGATCATAATTTAAATTCTAACTTATTCTCTATATTTTCTCTTACAAAATAACTTTATGTTTTATACTTAACCCTACAAAGTGAGAGCGTGCGATAACACCCCTCTTTCTTAAAGAGAAACGTCCCGTTTCTTTAAATAAATTGAAATAACTGCTCTTATACAGCGGATGTCTTACAACTCTGTTGTTTTTGAAGTTGTTCACAAATTTCGTTTATTTGATGATTCATTTCTGCAATGATTTCGTCAGGCTGTTTATGTCTAGGCTTTGAAGAATTTTGTTTATGTACGTCTAGACTGTTTTATGTGTCTGCTTAGTTTATGGCTGCCGTATGCGATAATAAAAATTGTTGCTAAGAGTAGAGTTGATGAGGTAATAGGATGTTCCTTGAAGTGTTGTTTTGATGTTGTAATTAAGTTTATGTTTTCAAGTTGAAGTTCTTCATTATGACTTTCTATATACTTTATTATCTCGAAATGATTTGGATGGTTCATCTTCAGATAGTTATTAATTACGGTTTTTTGGTTTATATATGTAATATTGTCTATTGTTACATTGGTCTCAAAGGTAACTAGGTACACTCCTTCTAGGGTGTGTTCATCAACTTCGTGATTGCCTGAGACTAGGATTGCACCATCTTTTATTAGTTCTAAATTTCTATTCTTTTCTTTTATTTTAGTGCATGATGCTTTACGGTGATTTAGTAGGTTTGTTAAGCAGCTCTCATTTAATGATAGTTTACAAAAATTATTACTTAATTCTATTTTACAAATTTGAACATTTTGAAATATATTATTACATCTTACGACTTCTTTTTCAATTAATAATTTACTATCTTTTTTACTTATAGCTCTACTTTCATATAGTTTACAATTGGTTTTGATTATAGGATATGTAATATGTATTACTATTAAATCTGGGTTTTGTAAAATTTTGAATTTGGATACGTCCATTAAATCTGTTAAGGTGACTCTGGTATTCTCGTGTTTGATTATGTCTTGGATTTCTTTTAAATCTAGTATCGCTGTGTTTAATATATCTGCTTTGGCTAGCGTAACTGTTTGTAATAGGTTCTGTAGTTCAATTAGTATTAGTCTGTTTGTTTGTTTCGTTACTTTTGTCTTGCGCGAACTATTTTCTAAATTTTGAATCATTTTTTCCATACTGAATAGAGCTTTAAATATTTGTGAGTTGGTTGTTAATTGTTTGTTGCTGTTTTCTGCCAGTTCGTTTAATTTGTTATTAATAGTTACCAGATCATCATGATCTGGGGACCCTGCTATCCATTTCCAAAGTGTGCCTAGTTCGTTAATTCCTCTTTTTCTTCTATGGTTAGTCTTTTGTAATTGTGATAATATCGTGTCTATCAGATGTAGCTCTAATTGTATGTCTAAATTGTCAATCTGTGTCACAGATTTATTATTTTGAGTTTCTAATCTAACAACGATGTTCTCGTTAATTTCATTTCTAGTTGCTTCCACTATTTCCTTAATGTATGTTAAATTTGTTATATGAAAAATGTCACCAAAGTTTTCGTAAATTACTGCATCGCCGTTGTCTACTAGTACGTAATCTTCTCTCGTGTAGTCAATTATTTCTGTTTTCGCGATTCCGAATAAAGTGATAAGTGCAATGATTAATCGGTCCATTGTCTGTAAAATTAAGTTCGTATATTATCTTTATGTACTATTCTGTTTCTATAATGAATTTTAACTTTCTTGCCTAGGTCTTCTTTTATTTTCTGTTTTTTGTATTTTACATCTAACTTATTTCTTTTACCTCCTACCTTTTCATAAATTGTTTCGTTAGGTTTATACGTTTTCAAACCTTTTAATTTGTCGTTTCTTTTTAATATAGTTTCCTGTGCTTTTGCTAATTTTTCTGGTATATCAGGATGGTCTATTTTATTATATAATATATCTTGCGGTCTGTAGTTAGTAACCGTATGAATTGTCTTGTTATATTGTTGAACAGCTCTAAATATAACCTCTAAATCGTTTACAATACTAAATTCCTGTCTTAAGCATCTTGCTATTTCGATCACCGTTGAATGAACTCTTTCGACCTGTCCGTTCGTTGAACTATGCTGTGGGTCACAATAATAAATGTTAATACCCATTCGTTCCATTAATGACTTAAACTGAGGTGTCGAGAACCCTGGTTCGTTATCTAAGGTAATTTGTTTTGCTTCTGGGAATGACTGTAAAAGTTCCAAAACTTTTTCATCTAGTTTTGTTTTATCTTCAATTTGTTTAATGAACAGATATTTAGAATAAGCATCAATACAAGTAATAAATTTAAGTTTTTGCGCGAAAAATATGTCGAGGTGGACTAACTCTCCCTCCTTCTTGGGAATTGGTGCCCCACCAATTGGTACCTTTTGAGGATTTCTATCATACTTATTTCTATTACAAATCCCACAATGTATTACGAATTCTTTAAAATGTTGGGCCATTTTGGGCCAATAATATGTGGTAAAGATTTGTTTTAAATTTTCCCTATAATTTCTGTGTGCACGTGTATGTGTTTGTTCTACTATTGCTTTCTGATCGTCCGCGTTAAGGACGTCTATTGGAAAATTCTTAGTGTACGTGAATTTTATGTCAGTGAATGTTTCAATTAAGTGGTTTTAAATTTCGTAAAGATCTTCAGGTGTGCAATAGATTGCAGTCACAACTTTGGGTTGAAGGTATTCCTTCAGAATTGTTAAAAGATTTTCGACTGTATCATATTCTATAATATGTCGTGTTTTATCGAAATTTGTAATTTGTTCATGTATAGTATATCTAGCTTTTGATAGTAAGATTTGCTGCTTAAATTGATTAAGTGGTTTGGTCGTTTCTTTTATGGTAGTGTTATCACTACTTTCTGCGGAGTGTTGTGTAGAAGTGATTGAAGATTTTTCTGGAAGATGATTTAAGTATTGCCGTGAAAGGGCATCTTCCACTACATTTGTGGTTCCTGGTTTGTAGATAATTTTTGGTGCGAATTCTTCAACGAATGCGATCCATCTTTTTATCTTGGCATTAGGATTTCGCGTAGATACGGCGAATGTTAAGGGTTGATGATCAGTATGAATTTCTAAATCTGAGACCCCGTATAAGTAGTTTCGTAATGATTTTAGTGCCCACACTATTGCATATAATTCTTTTTCGTTTGTAGCATAATTTTGCTCTGTTTGATTCAATGTTTTAGATATAAAGGTGATGGGCTTGCCGTTTTGGGTAAGTACTCCACCAATTGCCACGTTCGACGCGTCAGTAGTTAACACGAATTTTGAATCGTAATTAGATTGTATTAGTTCCATTTGATTTACTAATAATTTTTTTAGTTTTTCGAAGGCTTTAATTGCTTCTTCGTCTAGTTTTATTTCTATTTTTTTCGAGCTAAATGTAGATACTCTGCCATTCTCTCCGGCTAAATATTTCGTAAGTGGCTTTGTAAAAAAAGCATAATCTTTTATGAACTTTCTATAAAAGCCTGTCATACCTAAGAAACTTCTAAGCTGTCTAAGAGTATGTGGTAATGGGTATTCATTAATGGTAGCTACTTTATTTGGGTCTGTTTTTATAATATTATGGGCAACAATATAGCCTAAAAACTCAACTTCTTTTTGAAAAAACTTTGATTTTTCCAATGAAATTTTCATATTTGCTTCTTTTAAACGTTGTATTATTTTCAATAAATCTTCTTTATGTTGTTCAATGCTTTGTGAATAAACTATGATATCGTCAATATATAAATGACAGATTTTTCCGATATATTCTCTTAATATATCGTCCATAGCTCTCTGGAATATGCTTGGAGCATTCTTCAGACCAAATGGCATTCGTATATATTCGTATTTTCCATTGTTAACGGAAAATGCAGTTTTTTCGATATCTTCGTCTTTCATCAATATCTGATGAAATCCAGATTCTAAATCAATTGTTGAAAAGTACTTCGACTTTCCCAAATTAGATAAAATTACATTAGTATCTGGGATAGGATATCTATCCAAGATCGTTTTTTCGTTGATTTTTTTAAAATCGATTACCATGCGCAGTTTAGGGGTACCATCTGTATTTGTACCTTTTTTTGGTACAACCCATATGGGTGAATTATATGGACTCTTACTAGCCCTGATTATACCTTCTTGAAGCATTTTATTTATTTCTTTGTTAACAAAAGAATTTACTGACAAGGGATAAGGGTACTGTTTACTCCATATGGGAGTTTCAACAGTAGTTCTAATTTCCGCTTTAACATCAGTTCTAAAGGGTAAATTCATATCGATATTGCCATGACCTTTCTCAATTTGCCGTTTGATATTTAGTCTCAGGCTTTTGATTGAGTCATCGTCATCAATATTGTTTAATTTAGCTTCGCTTGCTTTTTTTGCATGATTTTTTTTCGGTTGCTGCTTTGCAGCGTTTTTGCTTTTAGTGTTTATTTTATCGTT